TCTCTTACTTTAAAATCTTAAAATTTAATAACAACGATCTTTAAATTTAAAATTTTTGAATTTTAGTCTTGATGGAAGTCTAAATTTTTAGATATCAAGTCTTGAGAACCTGAAGATCTTTAAATTTTCATAGTCTTGAATCTTTTCATAGTCTTTAAAATTTTAGAATCTTAGAAGCCTAATATCTTAACATCTCTCTAATTTTAGAATCCTGAAATTAAAAAATATTGTTCAGAATTTTAAAATCTTGATCCTCAAAATCTTAAAGTTTTAAAAACTTAAAGATCTTCAAAAATCTGCAATTTGGAATTTTAAAATTTTATTAAGAATTTTACAACCGTAAGTGTACAACTTCGAGTCTCATTTTTTTTTTAATCTTAAATTATGAAAAACCTAAAGATTTTTAAATTTTCAGTCTTAGAATCATGAAATTTCAAATTATAGAACCATAGATGCCTAATTTTAGAACCCTAAAATTCAAAAATATTGTTTAAAATTTTAACATCTCGAGCCTCAAAATTAAAAATTATTAAAACTTTTGAATCTTAAAATCCTAAAGACCTAACATTTTCAATTTCAGAATCTTGGATTCTTAATTTTAAAATCTTGTAACCTTAAAAAAGATCTTTAAATTTGCATAGTCTTTGAAATCATAGATTTTTAAATTTTAGAATCTTAGATTCTGGAATCTCAGAATGTTCAATTTTTTTTATTTCAAACCACAAAATCAACGTTTGTGGAATTCTAGAAATGGGTTTAAACATTTTGTTCCACTTAACGATGTTTTAATGCAGATCAAAGGTTTACAAACACATTAAAGCACCATCAATTTGCGTTATTACACTTGAACACTTCGGAGAGTCAATTAATTAATTATTGCGAGTACTAAACGATTTGAATATTTTCCGAGCTAAAACAACAAAACTGAATCATACTAAAATGTTCTTCCATAAAGAATAGATTCCCTATTATGGCAAATTCGCCATAAACGTTTATGACTAGTGGAAAATTATGGCCACATTAAACGTAATTTATCTGATTTTTTCTCGTCCTAAAGCTCTAGAAATTAAATCAGATTTGCAAAAAACTTGTCGTGAAAGTCCCACTTTTACTAATTTTGTCGAAATTATTTTCTCGGCAATGAGACGGGTCATTAATTCGGTTTATGACTATACTCAGACATTTAACAATAGGACAATACCCAAAGGGCGTATAATAACCCGTCTGTCGTCTCTCCGAATTTCAATAAGTCTGTTTTGTTTGTAAATTTATTTATATTTTTTAATTAATAATTACTGACAGAACCGTTAACACAATTTATCAATCAAAATGACGAAAAATATTCTCGGTTAATTAAGATATACTGTAATCCATTGAAATTAATAGGAGGTAATTAATCACTTAATTATTCAAATTGTTTACGACGGCGATTTATCACCACGTCGCTATACAGGGTGATGCTAGAAAACAATTTTTCAATGTTTTTGCTTCCAGCAAAGGGAAAAGTTTATTTAGTGTTCAATTAGCGTCTTTTTAGTGCCACCCAAGCTGTCCTACTAATCACTAAACTAAATATTTTGACGTCTCGAGGGCCTTTTACGAAAACCTTTTTTTGTCCTCGACACAATTCTCGTGGAAAACGTGTTTCCGACTCGAAATCTGTGTTTGCTTTATTTAATAAATCGGCACAAATTCGTTACTTTGTTTCTCTTCTATTTTAGTTTCTCGTTTCGGGCACGTTTAGTTCAGACAAAACACGCTTAAAAATATATTACAAAAAAAATTATTTAACCATAATTTAAAGCTATAAACGCGTTTCTTGTTTCTCGATCGAGGATTTTCGACCACTACTGGTGTCATTTTGAGGCGTGCTGGGCCTTGCGTGTGAAATCTCTCAATAAATTTTGAGGTTTCGGTGAGAAATTCGAATTTATTGTTGGTGTCTGGTTGCGAAACTCAGTTGCAGATGCAACGTACGAGTCGGGCCTTAAAAAGTAGCCTGACTGTTTTTTTTTTCTTTAAAAAAAATATGATTCTAAGTCTAAAAGGCAGTGTGGTTACGAAGATTACACTACTTTAGGATTCTAGAATACAAGAAAAGAGGTTTCGAAGTTTTAGACACTCAGGACTGTACAATTCTAAATTGCCAAGTTTCTAATATTATAGATTTTTGAAGACCTTTAAATTTCTAAAAGATTGTAAAGTTTTAATTATCTAAGATTTTAAGACATTTAAGATTCTAAAATTTTAAAATCAATGATTCCAAAGACAATGCAAATTTAAAGATCTAGGTTTTCGAAATTTGAGATTTTAAAAACTTTAAGGTTCCAAGATTCTAAAATTTAGAATCCAAGATTCTGAGCTTGAAAATGTTTGATCTTAAGTTTTTAAGATATAAAAGTTTTAATAATTGTAAATTTTGAGGCTCGAGATGTAAAATTTTAAACAATATATTTGAATTTCAGGGTTCTAAAACTTTAGAATTTGAAAAACTTAGATCTTAAAAAATCCAAAATTTTAGAATTTTTTTATTAAGAATTCTACAACAGTGAGTGTCTAGAGCTTCAAAATATATATTTTTTTAATCTTAGAATCTGAAAAACCTAGATTTTTAAATTTTCATCATTTTGGAATTTAAAAGCTTCCTAAAAACCTCTCAATCTTAGAATTTTAAAAACCTAAAGATCTCTAAATTTTCATATTCTGGGAATCGTGGATTCTAAAATTTGAGAATCTAAGGAGCTTAAATATCCTAATTTTAAAATCCTGAATTTCAAATACTTAAAATTTTAAAATCTCGAATCTCAAAATCTTAGATTATTAAAACTTTACAATCTTTAAAACTTAAAAATCTTCGAAAATCAATAATTTTAGAAACTTGGAATTTTAGAATTTTATTTAGAATTCTACAAATCGTCTGAAACTCCGAGGTCTCATTTTTTTAAATCTAAACAACCTATAGATTTTGAAATTATCATAATTTTATAATTTTGAAGCCTAGAAACCTTTAAATTTCTCTTATTTTAAAATCTTAGAATATTAATAGCAACGATCTTTAAATATTTGAATCATGGATTCTAAATTTTAGAGTCTTGATGGAAGTCTAAATTTCTTAAATACCAAATCTCGAAAACCTGAATGCAATTCTAAATTGCCAAGTTTCTAATATTATAGATTTTTGAAGACCTTTAAATTTCTAAGATTGTAAAGTTTTAATTATCTATGATTTTAAGACATTTAAGCTTCTAAGATTCTAAAATTTTAAAATCTATGATTCCAAAAACAATGCAAATTTAAAGATCTTTAGGTTTTCAAAATTTGAGATTTTAAAAACTTTAAGGTTCCAAAATTCTAATATTTAGAATCTAAGATTCCGAGATTGAAAATGTTTGATTTTTAAGTTTTTAAGATTCAAAAGTTTTAATACTTTTAAATTTTGAGACTCGAAATAATAGTTATTTATTCGACGAGTTTGAGTGTAAATCCGACTCTTTATTTGACCGGGTGGATTTTTAAACCACGAGTGCAACGAGTGGTTTACCATCCACGAGGTGGAATAAAGCGTTCGATTTACACTCAAACGAGTGGAATACAACATTTTATTCTTCGAATTAGAGTCAACAAGGCTTAAACTTGCTTTAAATCTATTAAAAATTATTTGACGTTTTGTATTGAGAAATGCCAAACTGTTGTCAAAACTTCCTTACACGGGAGAAAAACCGTAAATTTTGACAGTGTCGAAGAATAAATAATATTTTTGAATTTCAGGGTTCTAAAATTCAAAAATATAAAGGTTCAAATATTACTTTTCTAAACTTCAAGACTACAGTTTTAAATAAAATTCTATAATTCTATCATGATTACACGAGTTTGAGATTCTGAGATTTATCTGATATTAAAATTCGATACTTCTATGAATCAGAACGTTTTAGATTTTACATTTCTAAAATTTAACAATTTGGTTTCAAGTACCATTTTATGATTCTACTGTTCTGAGATTATAGAAGGATAGATCCTTCTTTAGTCTTAGAATACTCTCTAAAATTTGATCTTAAGTATTTGAAGTTCTAAAGTTTCAAGATTTTGAATATCTCAAATTTTGAGATTCAAAAAAATTAGACACTCTTGATTGTAGAATTTTTGGGGTTTCAGAATTACAAGTCTCCAAAATTAAAAGACGTAAGAACTCGAGGTTCTAAAATTTTGAAAATATTTCTTTTCAGTATTCTAGAATTCTGAGGTTTTTAATTTGGTTTTAAATTTTAGTCATGTGAAGGTTGTATTTACTTATTTTTTGAAATTTCTACTGCAATTCTAAATAAAAAAATTAAATTAGGATTAATTTTAGGATTTCACAACTTTGAGAATCTAAAATTTTTCTGATTCTAAAATTCTATATTTTTAGAAATCAAACATTAAAGGCTTCTAAAATTCTAAAATTTTAGAATTCTAAGACAGGGAAAATTTTGATTTAGATCTATAGGTTTTATTTTAAGGCTCTTAAATCTGTACGTTTGTGGGATTCTAAGATACAAAAAAGTAAGGCTTCGAAGTTCTACACTCACGAATGTAGAATTTTTGGAATTAAAAAAAAAATGAACAAAGATGTGAGAATTTCAGAATTCTAAAATTCGAAAATGTAAAGGTTCTAATGTTTCGTTACTTTTCTAAATTTCAAGACTAGAGTTTGAAATAAAATTCTAGAATTTTACAATGATTACACGAGTTTGAGATTCTGAAATTTATCTGAACGTTTTACATTTTACATTTCTAAAATTTAACAATTTGGTTTCAAGTTTTATGATTCTACTATTCTGAGATTATAGAAGGATCTAAGACTCTCTAAAATTTGATTTTAAGTATTTGAAGTTCTTAATTTTCAAGATTTTGAATATCCCAGATTTTGGGATCTGAAGTTTTAAAATTTCTAAAAATTGAGTCCCACGATTCTTAAGGTTTTCAAAATAAATTATTAAAATTTTATGCTCAGCAATCAAACGTCTAGATTCCTACCAGATAATACTTTTATTATCCATCATTCAAGGAATTAAATAGCTACCGTTGCTATAATCTCGCCTCATAACCACGATGGCCATTTTATTAAAATTACACAACCGCATCAAATCTCCAATTATGTTAAATCCTTAATTTTATTGCTCATCGTGTCGGTGCCAAGTGCCACATTAATATCTCAATAAACAACAAAGTTAAGACAATTTTACAAAAAGTTAAATTTAAATTCAATAAATGTTGCCGCAAATTCGCATGCACGACCATCACAAATTCCAACAGCAACAAAAATAAAACTGATGTCACAATTTAGATCAAAAATCAACTCACCATTCCATTACAGAGCGACACTGAAACGGCCGAATCCAAATCGTCTTTGATTTTTCCGGTATAGAAACACCCATAAATACCACTGTCTTGTTTCTTCCGATGGGTGTAGTCATCCCCAACATGGGTCACGTGTAAATCTGTTGATAAAATTTGGTCGTTGTGCTCCAACTCTAGGAAAAGCTTTCGGCCGAAAGCATTGATCACGTATCTGGGGTGTGGATCCCAAACTTCGGCCTCCTTGTGCCGAAAATGGCCGCTGTGGTGGCGCAATGGCGGCTTGTCTGCAAGAAAAATGGTCAATGGGTCGCTGGGTGGTTTTTGCCCCAGTCCTCTACCATAATTGTTGCGCATTTGGTCGAAGATTATGTCATGGGTGTGCAGGGGCAAAGGACCGATTTTCAGGGGCTTGACGAACTCGACCTCGCTGTCGAAGTCGTCCAAGTGCGTCTTTTCGATGTACTCTACAACAAGAGCAAAAAATTAAGTAGGCTAAGTGTCTCGCACTTGAACAAAATCAAGTCATCAAAGATTTTCCTCCCCTGACGCGGCCATAACCCGACCGTCTTATTTTTCTCCCCTTCTCCGGTTACGCGGCCGGTTTTCGGAATTAGGCGGCGGTGGAATTTCAATGCACAGTCAGATTGCGGGAAAAGAGGTAATCGGAAGAGGGGAACAGAGCCGGAGCGAGAGTAATGGCCGCGAGAGGGGAGGCACATATTATTATCAATTAGCGAAAACGTAAGATTTATTGCAACTGACCACACTTTAAACATAAACCAGTCACGCATTTTTATTTATGATCTGGACGTAAAAATTGATTTAAAAATAGTCGGCGAGAAATTTTCTAGTTCCATCCAGGGGTGGGGGTCGAAGGGGAAACCGCGATCAGAGAATGCGGTGTATTTTTACAGACTGCGTGATTTTTTGTGGTCGAACTAGTGTAATAAATCCGAGTACGGCCCACGCTCGGAATGTTGTAAGTTGTAAAGAGACATTGTATTACGCATTTTATTACGACGAAAAAATTTACATGAATTGCATACAACTGGTGTGAATTAATACTTTACGATTTTTCGTTGCAACAACAAAACAAGTGACGTTAGTTATGGCCGGGGGCAAGGCTGAGCAATCTTCAATAACATTATGGAATTTCATGGATTTTTATGGGAATTATATGGAATTATCAGGAAAAACCGTCCACCGACACCTTCCATGGTGTAAAGTGAGCAAGCATTGACCCCGTGACTGTTTTCTAGCACGATAAGATAACGAATTCATTCAATACAAATTACGATGTAATTAGTTGTGATTAGTCCAATTTGCGTTCGGTTCAATGTAAATTTATCGGATGACGTGAGTCGGTGGGGGCTTTGATCCGGCGTTAATTTTAACCGCTCGTAAAACCATTTAATATTCATATAGACGACCAGATGGAGAAAAAAAATCAAATACGAAACCGTAAAATCAGTTACTTATAGGTTTTGCCTAGCAATAAAAATTATCCAAAATGGTGGATGCGCCCAAATGGCCGCTGGAGGGGAAACCACAAAACCCAGTAGAGGGGGTGTTATTTAAGATCCGTATCATTTAATAAATGCGCATGTTTTCGCCACCTGTTTAACCAGAATCCTCGTCTGTCGCATAATTTTTCTCAATGAACCCGTCATTCTTTCTTAAATATGCAAAACATTCCGCTGCGGCCGTTTAACGCTGTCATTAAACGCATTAAACCGAAAATATTTTAAATATTAAAGCCGAATCATTAATCAACTGTCAAACGAATACATTCCACTAGTTTTAAGCCCAATCGTGACTTATTTTATCGAATTAAACGGCATTGAAAACGACCGTCAATGCGTTTCCTCATTCAACACTCTCTAAGGTCGCGAAAGGGGGCGAGCGCGGCCTTACCCCCACCTAAACGATGCCAATGGCCGGCTGAGGGGAAGCTGATGGCCGCCGGAGGGGAAACCCACCTGTGGCGTCGCGACGCTGTAAAATCGTGACCTTGAGAAGTGGTCGAGTGCTCGGTAAGAAAATCATCCCGACATGAATAAAACATAAGTCGGTAATCTGAGATCCCGCGTCAGGATTAGTAGTACAGTGTAAATAATAGCTTGTTGATGGTTGAAACGATGTGAATGTACGGAATTTTGATAAGAGCTCACGTCTCAGTGACAGGTAATCCAGAAATTTATAACAGAAATGAAGAGTCATTGTTCCTGCAAGCAGCAGGAAATAATCTTGCGAGTGTGTGGGTTTCGGTTATAATTTTATTCAAAGTCGAGAGTGTGGGCAAAAAGAATCGCAAGCAATTAACGCACTGGAATGACCCAAATTCTTGTATTTGCAGGAATTTTATTGTGGCGTTGTTTGCATTCCCAGCAGGAAAAAGGCAAATCACATACGGAAGTGTTTCTTCAATTTTAATTAAGGTTTGTTTGTTTAGAGGAGTTTTTAAATGATGATAAGTGGAGGTAATTACGGATAATTACCCTTGAAAATTGGTGGAATTAGGACGCGAAGTTTTGGCACGTTTTCTGCCGTCTGTTGCTAAATGTAGAGCGAGATAATATTGAACGGTGCGTGCTGAAAGATGTGTTCAAGAAGTGTGGGAAGGTTACTCCAAATTTAATTTAGATTTGTGAAACAAAATGCAAATAAAACGATAATTGAAAATTGATTAGAATAATTAATTAATTAAACACACAGGTGATTAAATAATTCGTTTTTCAGACAGAAGAGCAATTATTTCGAGAAATTTCAGCCAAAATAAATCAAAAAGTCACCCAATTAGGTCCAAAATGGTGTTATTTTTAACCGTTAAGGACGTTTTTCAGTCCAAAACACATTTTTTTCAAAATATTCTCAAAAATAAGTTTAAAAATTACCAAATGGGGAAGAAGACGATGTTTTATTATTTTTTTCAGTGTTTAAGCAAGAATATGACACAATGTTTGCATTTTTGAGCGTTTTCAAACGTTTTTCAAGCATTTACATACAAAAGACCATTTTTTTTTTAAATTGTATTAGTTTTCTTAACCTTTTGTGTTCCTCTCCTTTCATATCCATTTTTTTGGTAATAAATTAGGAATCGGAGGTTTTAATATTATTTGATTCACATTTTTCTGGTTTGTTTTTAATATATACTATTTTTTTGTTTTCCATAATTTTAAAAAAAAAATTATTTTTATTTCTGGATTTTTTCAGTTTTTGTCACAAATTCTTCCAAACTTCTTTTTATTTTTCCCATTTCTTTTGATTAATAAAATTAGTGGTTTTTATTTGTTTTTTTCTTATCATTATATGTTCCTTTCCTTTCATATTATTCATTTTTTGGTAATAAAATAGGAAGCGAAGGTTTTAATATTATTTGATTCACTTTTAACCTAACATTTTTCTGGTCTGTTTTTAATATTTACTGTTTTGTTTTACATATTTTTTTTCAGAAATTTTATTTTTATTCCTGAATTGTTTCAATTTTTGTCACAAATTTTCCTAAACTTCTTTTTGTTTTTTCCTTTTTTTTTATTAATAAAATTTGTGATTTTATTTAGTATTTGCTTTTTTCTAACACTTCGAGTTTTTTTTTCTTTCTTATTATAGATTTTTTTAGTAATAAAACAGAAAGTAGAGGTTTTAACATTATTTGATTCACTTTTAACCTAGCATTTTTCTGATCTGTTTTTAATATTTACTATTTTTTGTTTTCCATTTCTTCAACTTCTTTTTTTTTTCGTTTTTCTTTCTTTAATAAAATTAGTGATTATATTTAGTATTTGCTTAAAATTGCTATGAATGTCCTATCATTTATACATATTTTAATTTTTTTATCAGTTCTCTTTGCTTTTTTTAAGCTTTGTTACCTACTTTTATGACAAAATTTTTGCATTTTTGAGCGTTTTCAAACGTTTTTCAAGTATTGATACAATATGTTGCGAAATTTTGTAAAACAGAATGTAAAAACTCTAAATTGGTGTAATGTTTGAGCCAGAAACTCAGTTTTTTTTGCAAAATTTTGCTAAATTGGATCGCAAAATCATCAAATTGGACCAAAAGTGACTTTATTTTGCTTTTTTCGAGGGTTACGTTAAATTAAATAGAAGTCTTTAAGACCACACTTACTCTAAATAGGCCTAATTTTATTTATTTAGTTAATTCAATTGCTAATTTATTTCTCAAAAAATTATAATATTTTTTTTTATTTTCAATTCATTTCAATTATTAATTATCTTACTTATAATTAGAAAAGTACTTCAGTAGGTGGCAATTAACGCTTTACCAACATTACAAAAATACATATTGATTAAAATTACTTAAATTTAGTTACTTAATTGTAATTAGAAGAAATATTTTGGGCAATTATTGTCCCGTGACTTGAAATTTCAAATTGGGACTTAATTATAGCACTTTGTAATAACTAATTTTCCTACTTGTCTGTAATAAACCACAAAAATTTTCTTGGGAAATAATTATTTCCCAAACGTGCAATTTCCAAGTGCCTCTCACATCGTTTTATGCAATTTCAATTAATTATAATTACATGTTCCTCACCACATAAATAATTTTCTCAATTACGAAAAAAACCACCGATTATTTAACGATACTTCCTGTTGTTGTGATAATTTAAAGAGCAAATTTTTGAATTCCTGCAAAATTCCAGTTTTTGCAAATCATCTTTCCGCAATGCTTTGAACGCTAATAAAGCTTTAGAAAAGTGCAAAATTTCACTTTCTATTTTTTAGCACGTAATTCGCGAATTTTTCTCCTAATTTTTTTGAAATTAATTCGGACAAGTTCAGCAGACGGGGCCAACGACTCGCTTTGTGTATTTTTTAATCGCGAAAAATTATTTTTAGTCGCGCTGTCGTCGCTATTACACAATTCGTAAACACATCCTCGACAGTTTACAAGCGTTCGTAAATTTATTTCATAATTAAATGGAATCAGTCATCGGCGGTTCGCCTGATTACAAATTCGGGACGTTTATTTGCGCAGATGGCGCTGACCGAGAGAAAAATTCCTGCGGGAATGACTCGCGAAATTATTTTTGGATTGTCACAAGACACTTCCTGAAAATGAGTCGAACTTTCGCAATCCAGGGGGAAAAATTAACATTTTCAACAGTTGGTTAGTTTGGCATTTTGAAAGGCTCGGGGGAAAACTGCGAAAATTATTTGGGATTACTTTCTCGCAGGGATTTCACGAAAGTGAAAGCTTGCTCAAATAATAATAAAAAAATTAAAATAACTGATAATTTCGAAAGGACGATTTTTGAAAAAGATAATTCCTTTCGCACACAGAAACTAGGAATTTGCTTTTAAAAGTTCTATGTAAGTGTACAGGGTGATTAACAATAAATAAGCAATAAATTCACAATTATTTAATCTATTTCAAGACAGAATAAGCAATTTTGTTATAAAATATTAGACGCAGACGGTTATGCAGGAATTCTAAATATTTTAGTTCTACCTGAATTTTCGAAGAAGTACAAAGGTCAAATTAGAGATGCAGACGCTTAATAATTTATTATGTTACTTATTTTTATTTCTTTCATCCGAAATCGTTTTTTGATATGGCGGCCGTTCCCAATTTTTTGTTGAAATTGTATTTAACGTTTTGTTTTCCTCTCCTTTCATATCCATTTTTTTGGTAATAAAATAGGAATAGGAGGTTTTAATATTATTTGATTCACATTTTTTCGGTCTGTTTTTAATATTTACTATTTTCTTGTTTTCCATATTTGTTTATTAAAATTTTATTTTTAATTCTGGATTTTTTCAATTTTTGTCACAAATTTTTCCAAACTTCTTTTAATTTTTTCCTTTTCTTTTTATTAATAAAATTAGTGATTTTTATTTGTCTTTTTTGAACGTTATGTGTGCCTTTCCTTTCATATTATCCATTTTTTTGGTAATAAAATAGGAAGCAGAGGTTTTAATAAATATTACTTGATTCACTTTTAACCTAGTCTGTCTTTAATTTTAAATATTTGCAATTTTTGTTATCCATATTTTCTAATAAAAATTTTATGATTATTCCTGAATTTTTTCAATTTTTGTCACAAATTTTTCGAAACTTCTTTTTATTTTTTCCTTTTTTTCATTGATAAAATTAGTAATTTTTTTATTAGCTTTTTTTAACCTTTTGTGTTCCTTTCATTTCATATCCATTTCTTGGTAATAAAATAGGAAGCGGAGGTTTTAAAATTATTTGACTCACTTTTAACCTACCATTTTTCTGGTCTGTTTTTAATATTTACTATTTTTTGTTCTCCATATTTTTTTCGGAAATTTTATTTTTATTCCTGAATTGTTTCAATTTTTGTCACTTTTTCCAAACTTTTTATTCCTTTTTTTTTCATTAATAAAATTAGGTTTTTTTTGCTTTTTTTAACCTTTTGTGTTCCTTTCCTTTCATATCCATTTTTTTGGTAATAATATAGGAAGCGGAGATTTTAATAGAAATAATAGAAATCAGAGGTTTTAATATTATTTGATTCACTTTTAACCTAACATTTTTCTGGTCTGTACTAAATTTTAAATATTTACTATTTTTTGTTTTCCATATTTTCTTCCAAAAATTTTATTTTTATTCCTGGATTTCTTCAATTTTTGTCACAAATTTTTCCTAACTTCTTTTTGTTTTTTCCTTTTTTTATTGATAAAATTAGTGATTTTTTATTTGCTTTTTTAATCTTTTGTGTTTCTTTCCTTTCATATTATCCATTTTTATTTGGTATGTAATAAAATAGGAAGCGAAGATTTTAATATTATATGATTCACTTTTAACCTAACAGTTTTCTGGTCTGTTTTTAATATTTACTATTTTTTGTTTCCATATTTTTTTTCAAAAATTTTATTTTTATTCTTGAATTTTTTTAATTTTTTCCACAAATTTTCCCAAACCTCTATTTTTATTTTTTCCTGTTTTTATGAATAAAATTAGTGATTTTATTTAGTATTTGCTTTTTTTAACCCTTTGGGTTTCTTTTCTTTCATATCATCCATTTTTTTGATAATAAAATAGAAAGCAGAGGTTTTAATATTCTTTGATTCACTTTTAACATTTTTCTGGTCTGTTTTTAATTTTAAATATTTACTATTTTTTGTTTTCCATATTTTCTTCCAAAAATTTTATTTTTATTCCTGGATTTTTTCAATTTTTGTCACAAATTTTTCCAAACTTCTTTTTGTTTTTTCCTTTTTTTTTTTGATAAAATTAGTAATTTTTTATTTGCTTTTTTAATCTTTTGTGTTTCTTTTCTTTCATATTATTTATTTTTTTACTAATTCTACTACATATTTTTTGTTTTCCATTTCTTTAACTTCTCTTTTTTTTCTTTAATAAAATTAGTGATTATATTTAGTATTTGCTTAAAATTGCTTTATATGTCCTGTCACTTATACATATTTTTTTATTAGTGTTTTTTGCTTTTTTGTTTGTTTTTTTTTAAGATTATAGGTACCTCCATTTTTAAGCTTTGTTACCTAGTTTTTTTTTTCTTTAACTCTTTGTAACTATTTTTTTTTCATTGATAAAATTGAAAACTTTACTCAAAATGTGTTTAAAGTTGCTGTGAATAGATGAAATCAGCTACTTTATCTTATTAAACAAGTGTAAATTGCCTATCCAATGCTATTTGGAGCAAACTTTAACTATTTTAATAGTAAAATCTAAAATTTACAAGTCTTTTATAATTTTTTTAATTTCTGACACTGCTTTTTTGCAACTGTAAATTAATATTTTGATTTTATTTAATTGAAAGGACTTGAAATTAATAAAAACGACAAAATATTGTTCATTAGTTTATTAGAGTCCAAAATTACAACAAAATAAAAGATAAATTAATTTTTCACACACAGTTTGTCAAAAAACGTAAATTTCTCAACTCTCCAAACAATGCGCTATTAAAAATCGTTTGTTTTCGGTCATTGTTTCACTCAACAATACATCGATTAATAAACAAAATACTTGAAGCGCCAACCGTCTGCCATCCCTATTAAACCATAAGTCATCGATATATTCCAACCAATTAGTCGCAACATCGTTAACACGAATTAAAGACGATCGTGATTCATCATCTCAAATATTTTTTGAAAAAATTAACTGATTCTCAAGAGTAAAATTTTCCGAAATTTTGTTTTTTTAAGTCTCCAAAATTTTTATTTTTTTTAATGATAAAAAAATAAACAAGCTGTCATTTTGAGAAAAAAATCGTATATAACTCAAAAACAAAAATTTTTATTCTCGAAACACGATCAAATTATTTAAAAAACCGTCTAGTTCCATATTTTTTGTTCACCCTGTAAACACGCTTATCAGTGTTTTCCGAGCCTTGACCCTTGTCGTTTTCCCGCCGTCTGCTGAAAATTCGGCAAAGTCAAGGTCGGCGACCATTAGCACCATGATGGTACATAGCCCATGGCAAGGCCGTCGCCATTAGAGGGGGGCGGCGACCACCGCGCTCAAATTGCAAAACCAAATACCGAGTGGACCCAAAAAAATTTGTTTGTTTTATAATGTTTGTGTTCGTTGACCTAGCTTCTAGACTCATCTGTCAGCGAAATTTTTTACACGACTCAATAAAACCGACGTATAAATAAATAAATCAGCTACAGGGTGTGCGATATAAAACTCACCTTTCTGCTTGACGCTCGTGGCGATTTTCTCTTGTTTGTGCTTGAAGGCCCCCTGGCCCAGCATGATCCAAACGGTGGCGATGAGGGCCCCCAATGCCAGGATGCACACGCCGATCAGTGCTGTGGTACAGCGATGTTTCACCTTGGCGCACATCGCGAATTTTTTCTCCAACCCCCCGATTATTATCTATTCGAAACGCGCGAAATTAACAGACCGTTCCTGAAGTCGCTGGCGAAGGAGAAAAGCGGGAGAATCATTGTTCGTGCGTGGGGGCGCGACTGCACCTTAATCACACATCTTCCAAGCTGGAAAACTGAGAAAATTGAGTGAAAATGGGCGGGAAAACTGCTTTCGTAATCTGATTTATAATTAGAAACGATGTTAAATACATATTTTTTGCGTAAATAACTATAAATTATTTTTTTTATTACATGGTGTTTAGAAAAACACATTTTCTTGGAGATTAGTATTTCAGAATTATTTATTTTCTTTTAATTGATAAAAAATGTTTAAGAATGGTCGCTCGAAATTTCCGCTGTAGACCATAAAATGAAATTTTATTTAGAGCTTATTTACTACTTTTACTACCTTGGCATTAAAAGTGACACTTTCGTGTTTGTTTGCACATTTAGATACGATTTTTGCAAGCAAATTTCCGACTTTAATTTAAAAATACCCACAGGGTGATTAATAAGATTAATATGCACAAAATATTAAGAAATATGCTCCAATATATGCCAAATATGCATCGATATGCAAAATTTTGAATAATAAAAAGTCAAACGTTTTTTTAAAGTATTTATTTTTTGAAAAAACTAATAAAGTTCTATAAAAATGTGATGTTTTATCAAAAATAAAATTTTTCGAAATTTTTATTTTGTTTTTGAGTTTTACAAAAATATTATTTTTTTTWAAWKGGMASCCMMCMAAAWRAATTTTYTTTCATGAAGATTATGATCTAAGGGATTACAACTATCTACTTTGTATTAAATTATTTTTTGACATATATCGCAATTTAGACAACAAAAATCGAATAACAAAACAAAATTTTGTTCTTAAAATAAGATCATTTTTTATATTACTTTAATTTATATTAATTATTATTTTTTGGAAACCAATGATTAAAAAAAAAACGCTTGGTTCAATACAATTTAAAAAGGAAACACTCAGCAGGGTACTAATTTTTTGAGTTTGGCTTACGAATTACCGGTTGTTTTCTCTTTAAAATATTTTGTAATCGCATCATTTTTCATTAACTGTCCAATTTTTAACTTGAACTGAAATTTTTAATCGGAAATTAGTGATTTGAAGAAAATATGCACAAATATGCAATATTTCCTAAAATATGCACCAAGTTGCCAAAATATGCATTTTTTATTTGGCTTATTTTAATTAAAAAACATTAGATATGCATAGAAAAATTACAATTTTGTTGATATACCTCTTAATAACAAATATGCATTTTGCATCTAATCCGAGCCTTAGTGATTAAACTAATAATGCTTTTTTCGTAATAATAAACGATGGACTTGATTTCCGTGTGAAAAAGTGCAATTTTGCGTCCCTTCCGATAAAAAATCTTAATTTATCAATGACGTAATCGAAATTACGTTAATTATTTGAAAAAAACTGACATATAGTGGAATTGGAATTACACACACTTGATATAATCGGCGAACATCTTAGAGTAATTATCATGAAAAAACGTAAGGTTACAACGATTTTAATAGCGTTTAATAAAAGTGAAAGAGATTGACGTTAAATCCGAAACAACACTTAAGGAAAAACATAAAAAATGCATAAAGCAGAGGAAGGAAACAGTAAATTGTCAATTCTAGCTTTAGTAACCGAAAATTGAAAAAAATTGAACTTGGCGTAACCTCAATTTCGCAATAGCAATAAACTGTTGAATTTTTTATTGTAAATTCAACAATTTATTCCGTGCTAAATATGCTAGTATAGTCAATTCAACACTCATTATACGAACGAAATTTCCTGTTTTAATACCCCGACCATTGACCTAATAAAATTACGAAATTTTAGCAAAAACTTTGTGCACATTTTAAAAACCAAAAAATTTTCGTAAGCTAAAATTCGAGTGGGCCGGGTGTTATGAATGGGCAACAAAAGCGAATCGATTTTGCGTGACTTACTTGATTTGGAATCGTTGATATATACAGGGTGATGGCACAATCGCGAACGCGCGATCTCTGAAACCGCGACTGAAACTGTTTCCCGCACGCACGAACGCTCGATGAAGACTAAATTCGAGACGGCCGCGACTTCTCCCACGAGCCGAGAGCGGGAGTGGAGGGCCAAAAAGCGGGTTTCTCGCCCGGTTGTCAACCACAGGGCGAAAAAGTCCACTTTTTCGCCCTCCTGTGACGGTAATTCATTTACCACTCTCGTTTTTTCTGATTAGTACTTACCGCCCGGGCGGTAATAGAAATTTTGACTAATTGAGTTTTTAGTGTTTTAAAAATATCGGCTTTGAAGTCTGAATGATTTAATGAAAGTAGCCGGAAGTCTGGCAATCAAACTTTTATGTGTGTTATACAACGCGAAACATTACTAGACAAAATATTTTTTTTCTCGAATTTATTTTTAATTTATTCATCTTTTAATTAACGCTACTAAGGTCAAGGTCTGTTCGTTACGTCACTTTGAAATGAATGAAATTTTTCGGCAAAAACGGAATTCTTCATTAGCAACTAAAAGCCACTCACCTCTATTAAGCTTATCGTCCGTAACCTACCTTCAATATCTTTGGCCGATAAATCTTGACCCAACGCCTCCCACCCTTCATGTGACACAAGAAAAACGACATTTGATATCTTTATCGCTTCTTTAATAAACAATAATACAATAACATGATTAATTTGTATGATTATAAAATGATTTGTGGAGAAAAATCATTGGAATTCCTTACTGGGTGTTGAAATACCTAACGCTTCTTCGTACCCAGAGGTCGGTTTCTTCTTCTTCGACTTACCTTCTTTATCCTTCTTCTCTTTCTTGTCCTTTTTCAATTTCTTTGATTTCTTCTCCCCTTTCTTCTTTCCTTCTTTCTCGCCCTGAAATCATGATTCATAAAACTTCTTTCATCACACCGATTAATTCGTTTAAAAATATCAAAGGATTATCTGTTTCGTCTGGGGGCTGTCAACACTGTAGATTAAAAACGACAACACAAGAATTGTTTTTTCGACTCACTCTGTACATTTTGTGTATTTTTATTACGTAATTGAAAAATGTGTACATTTGTGATGAAAAAATATTTATAGTCTCGATAAACTTTCCTGGATGTATAATAACCCAAATCAGATAATCATTTATTGACAGTGTGTTTAAACGTCTCGGGCCGTTTTATTATGATGATAAAGACGAAGAAAATAAACGAAAAATGTGGGTGGTCTTAAATTTCATTACCTTCTTTTTCGATTTTTTCACTTTCTTTTCCTCCTCCTTCGCCTCGACTGCCTTGACCGGAGACTCATAAACCGGAGGCCTGAAACTTTTTTATTAACCAACAAAACAACAAGTTCTAGAAAACAAACAATTCTAGATCAATATTGAGTGCCCTATGGGGGTCATCGACATGTCCATGACTACTATCCGAATCCGACAACGTCGCCCCTTCAGGCAACTCCAAATCCCTTTTAACCTCCACAACTGGTCCCTCATTCGCATTTTCCTCATCTGAAGAACTTTCATTCTTGTGTTTCTTCTTTTTATTCTTCTTTTTCGTCTTCTTCCGACTCGCATTCATGTTCAAATACTTATCGGAACGTTTCTGACCTACGACTTTCAACGGTACGTTTAAATCAATTTCAGCGACCGGAATATTATCAATATTGCTATCGTTTGCATTCTTATCAACGTCAGATGTTTTGAGATAGTGTGGATTGTTTTGTTGTTCGTATTTCCGGGCTTCGCGACTCTTCCGGATCTCTTCCTCAGTCGGTTCCGGTTGGTACCGAACCGAATTACCGAAGTCCTTGTCGGTTTTGATGAAGAGGTTGTCGAGGACTTCGTGGTCGCTCGACGAGTCGGAGTCATCAGGGGGCTCGTTGATCCAAGCGTCCAAATCTAACCTAATAAAAAGCATGATTTGAATTACAGGAAACTGTAATCAGAAATTTTAATTTTCAGCTTATCAACAAAAAAATTTAGCTTAAAATTATTTAAAACTGTAATAATTTAAATAAAAGTAAGTTTTTTCAACTGTCTTGACCACAAGAATTGGTAATTTTCAGTATTGGGATTACAGAAACCTGTAATTGGATAATTACCCTTCCGGTATTGGAACCTTCTTCTGCGCCTTGGGGGCCACCGGATTCAGCTCCCCCATAAACAGTGCGAGTAAATCCCCCGAGACTAAATTCTCCTTCGCCCCCTCCTCCTCCATCACCTTCTCGATCTCCTCCTTGACAATCTGCACTATAATAAGCGACGTACTGGACCTCTCCTGCACCTCCAACTCCCCCGATTTCAAACTCTCCCCCAACTTGAGACAGATATCATCACACAGCCCCAAAATCTCCCCATATTGCCCCTCCTCCTCATAGCCTCGCATCACATGAGCGAACAATTTAATAATGTTGTGTATAAAAACGGCTTCAATGTGTTGGGGTAAACTCTTGTATTTCAACATGGCTCTTAATGTCTTCTCGGGTTGTTTCAACTCGGAGGCAAACTCCCCACAGAGCCACGCCGCCGCATACAACACCTCTTGCATGATGGTAAATTGGGACGTCGATGAATAAACGTCCAAAAGTTGCGCCATTTCCGAGACGGCAAAAGGACGAATCGCTTGGACGCGTATACAAACGTCCATTAGTTGGGCACCGATCACGTGGCCCTGCTTCGATCCGAACTCCATCTGGGCGAGTTCGACCAAAACAGTGACGTACCATTCGAAATTTGTAACAAATTGGTAGTTGTTTTGGGAACAAATCAAAATGATTTTGCTGAGGAGTTCGTCGCGATAGATGGTACCTTCGGCTTTGTCCATATGGAGCATTAGTTTTTTTACGATTTCCATTAGATTTTTCTTGGAGACCATGCCGTAGAGTAGGTCTAAAGCTCGTAGTCGGATTGACTCGTCTTTGTCCTCCAAACATTGCAAAATCAAGTCTTTGTGGGCTTGGACGCTCTTCGGGTGCGTTTTGAGGATTTTCGACATGGCCAAGAGGCCCAAATACTTCACTTTAATTGATTTATTCATTAGAACAGGCGATAATTATTTAATTTATAATGCGAGTGAGCAATGCCAAAGTCACGTGAAGGAAGATATCGACATAGCAAAAAAAGAAAAAACTATGGAAAATGGAAAGACTAGAGAAGACAAAAATTAAATAAAAAAGAAAAAAGGAAAAAAAGGCAAATAATAGTGGGGAATACGTGAATATAAACAACGAATGAGGAATATGCAATTTCAAAAAGCCAATAAAAAAGGATAAAAAAGATTGAAAAACAGAGAGTTTGAGAGGCAACAAAACAAAACTAGTTAAAACATAACGAACAATCACTGGAAGAAACTAAAAGCCAAAAAGAACGGTGAAAAAGACAGACAAATAAACTGAGAAAAAGGAAGCAATAAATAGAAATAAAAAATTATAAAACATAGAAAAATTAAAGATAAAACCGTCCAAAATAGAACTGCAAAACTCAGAAACACAACGTTACAGAGGGAGAGAGAGTACAGAATATTAGAACAGAAAAAAATAAATGTAAAATCAGTAAAAGAAACAAATATTTAAAAGAAGAGATAACACGAAAAAATAAAAGACAGTGCAAAAAGCAAATTTTAAAAAACCAATCTAAATCTGGAACAATAAAACAGAATAACAGAAGGCAGAAAGACCAAAGAAAACAAATTCAAAATTTTGTGAATTTTTGAACACCAAATAAAATTCTATTTCTAAAAAAAACTGCTTAAAACATAAAAAAATGTGAAACACAAAGCACATGAGTACTAAAAGTTAAAAAAGGGAGAAAGCTGTATAAACACATGAGGCGAAAAATATAAACAATAATAAGAGAAGATAAAAGAATAGAATCATAAAAAAAATATAAAAAAACGGACGAAAACGTTAGAAAGAGAGAGAGAAAGTATAGAGTGATTAGAATGGGAAAAAATAATGCAAAATCAGTGAAAGAACTAAAAAAAGACAAAGATAAACACATAAGAAACAAAGACAAACAGTGCAAAAAAACAAAGTTTTAAAAAGGAAATAGATCTAAAATTGAAAAAACGAGACTAAACAATAACAATTAAAAATAGGAAAACTGAAAAAAACGAATTGAAAATTTTGTAGATTTTTTAAACACTAAAGAAAATTCTATATTTAAATAACTAAAAAAAATTAAAACAAAATGATTACAGTAGAAAAAAATATTGCAAAATCGGTTAAAGAAACGAAAAATTAAAAAAGACAATAGTAAATAAATAATAAAACAACAAACACAAAGAGTGAGAAAAACAAATTTAAAAAAGTAAGTAGATCTAAAACAATAAAACAACAGTACTGAAAAGAAGAAACAATAAAAAACAAACTTATAAAAAAAACTTATGAAACATAGAAAAACTTAATGATAAAACCGTCCAAAATAGAACTGCAAAACACAGAAACAGAGAAAAACGACAACGTTAAAGAGAGAGAGAGAGAGAACACAGAATAATTAGAATAGAAAAAAATGAATGTAAAATAAATAAAAAAATATATAGTTAAGAAAAAGAGATAAAAGCAAAGAATAAAAAACAAACAGTGTAAAAAAAAACAAATTTAAAAAAGCAAATCTAAAACTGGAACAATGAAACCGGATAACAGAAGGCAGAAACACCAAAGAAAACGAATTAAAAATTTTGTGAATTTTTAACAGTAAATAAAGTTCTATTTCTAAAAACACATAAAAAATATAAAACGCAGAAACACAGTTAGACTAAAAATTAAAAAAAGGAAGGAAAACACATGAGGCAAGAGGTATAAACATCAATTAGAGAAGATAAAAGAACAGAATCATATAAAAATTTAAAAAAATACACAAAAACGTTAGAGGAAGAGAGAAAAACTATATAGAATGATTAGAATGGAAAAAAATGCAAAATCAGTGAAAGAGTCAAAAAAAGACAAAGGTACATACATAATAAATACATAATACAAAATAAAAGAAACAAAGACAAACAGTGCTAAAAACAAAGTTTAAAAAAGGAAACACAATCTAAAATGGGAAAAACGAGACAAAACAATAACAATAAAAAGAAGACTAAAAAACGAATTAAAAATTTTGTAGATTTTTTAAACACTAAATAAAATTCTATTTTTAAAAAACTACTTAAAACAAAAAAAAAATAAAACAAAATGATCACAGTAGAAAAAAAATAATGCAAAGAAAAGAAAAATAAAAAAATGACAAAGGTAAATAATAAAAAAACAAGGACAAACAGTGCGAAAAACAAATTTAAAAAGTAAATAGATCTAAAACTGAACCAATAAAACAAAATAATAACAATAAAAGAAAGAAAGGCCAAAGAAAACGAATTAAAAATTTTGTGAATTTTTTTAACATTAATAAAATTCTATTTCTAAAAAACTGCTTAAAAAAATTGTACAGAAGAAGCAAACGAGAAAAGACAAAAACTGTCTAAAACAGAAAACTGCAAAACGCAAGCACACTTATTAATGTGACAAAAAGTGAAAAAAGTTGAAAAATAAAAGAAACGACAGTCAGAAATAAAAAAATATATTGCAAAGAACATTTGAAAGAATCGCAGATAGAAAAAAGCAAAAACAGAAACAGATCACGTGACTCTTCAGACTACCCCACTCGCTAAAAGCATGCAAAAAATCTTACAATTTTGGTCGGAATCCTCGATCAAGATTCGCAATTTTTGGACACAAAGTTGTATACTAGCGGCATGATTGGGCATCCCTGACGATATCGTAATCAAGACTGCTATGACCGTATTTATACACTCATACAAAAGACTCATCGCCGAAGTGCTACAATAACAATACCAGTGACGTGGGGGCACAGGGGGCGCAACTTTACCTGTGTATGAGATTCGTCAAAGGCTCAATCAACTTTTGACCTAGTCTAGGCTCAAGCGGAGTCAGGGCACCAAACTAAAAACAAAGCGTTACGTGCCAAGGGGGCTATCAATTTTCGACCCACTTACAAGTTTAATTATTTTAATTAACATCCAATTATTCGTACTGGTTGTCATTAGTTTGAAGAAAACAGGGGCCAGACTTAGGTAATTTTTGGGGTTTTTCCGTGCTAATTCACACACTACATTGACGGCAGCTGATTGTACCCCCGGATCGGGGTCCTCCAACTTCTCTTTCAGCTTGGGAAAGGCAGGACGTAGGGCTTCGGGGTACTTGAGGAACACTTTGTACATCATGAGAACGGCTTTTTTACGAATGTACGGCTTAGTGGAACTCAACTAAAATTGTTTTACGTTAATTAAACATAATTGTAATTAATTAATTAATTAATTACAAGAGTTAAAATATCATTTGAGAGGTCTCTGGCCAAGTCTGTGCTAATATAACAACTGAGGGACGTCAAAGCCAGCCCTGATTCGTACTGATTTTGCGAGTTTAACTCCTTCCTAATCATATTAGTGGTCAACATGAGCAACTAAAATTCTAATTAATTACAATTCAATTGGAGTTAATTTTCTCACCTCTGAATCACAATGAAACGATTGACTAGCTGCGAGATAACCAATCCGTTTCAAAGTAAACTTACTCGAACTCATAACTTCGATAATATTGAAGCCGGCCCACGAAATATCATACCCCAACATTTGCAACTAAAAATTCGACTCCCAATCGAGAAAATTCAATTAATTAATTACTCACATAAGTCAATTTCGCAATTGCGTTACTCTTGACTGATAGATTATCCTGTCGCAGCTCCTGCTTGATGTCCTCCATACATTGCGAGATGTATTTAGCCTGGAATCAGGGGGGTACTAAACATAACCTCAAATTTACAACCCACCTCATTTTCCTTATTATTACGAATACCGCGGACTAAATCGGTCAAGTTCTTGTCGAACATGCGTTCAATGTTCCCTTTAACCTTCTTTAAGGCCATTTTGGGGCAAAAACACACAAAAACGAAATCGGGAGGCGACTTCACTAATTTGCTCAAATTGTGGCAATATTCCCGCACCAAATCGTCCGGAGTCCAGTTCTTTCATATCACAGGGGGGTTATAAGGGGCGCACGAGCGTTCGCCCCGTTTTGTTACTTTTCAAGCCACGTTGACAAGTGACAATTGACAGAACACAGTGGCGGCTCGTCTCGATTTAAATTAAGAAATAAATTAAAAAACTGACTTGTGCCCCCTGACGAGTTGTAAAGTTAACCACAGTCGGCTACTATTCCATTGGGGTACTATCTCTATCAGGTTTTTACCACCAATTCTTGTTTTTTTCATTGATGTGTTGACATAACCTCAAAATGTTGGATAACGTGGGGGCTAAAATCAGCCAGTTTTTAAATCGGCGTTCAGTGAGATACGGTCTGCCGTTCCTACTTGTCGTTCTGGGGGGCTCGTTTGGGCTTCGCGAATTTGCGCAATTGAGATATCAATTTTCGAGAGTCTCGAGTGTGAAGCCTGAGGAAATGAAGAAGTTGGGGGTGGAAATGAAGAAACCGGGGGAGGTCACACTGGAGTCGGAATACGAGAAGATTAAGAAGATTGATATTGATAATTGGGAGCAGGTTCGGGGGCCCCGGCCGTGGGAAGAGAGCACACAATAATTAATTGTAAATAAAATTTTCAAGTCTTTTTGTGTGTTTTTTTTAGTAGAAAAAGTCCAAAGTGGATGTTCATATATTTTTATTCCCATGCACATATTTCATGTAACACTTTAAGACACCTTAGGATATTACAAATGACACACTTATTAAAAGTTTCGTCAAAATATTGCTTCAGCAAAAGAGTTTTTATTACCGACAACCGTTCCTCGGGACGGTTTCTCAATTTAAAATGATAATATTGTCAAAATAATTGACAGAATTCCCTAAATCTACACATTTTAATTGCTTATCAAGGGTCGTGGCTTATTGTCTCATGAGGGGCCACTTATTTACAAAAATAAATCGTTTTTTGTCGGTAATAAAATAAAAATTTAAAACTCTACCTATGACATAGAATGTTTAAAAAATCGTGGTCCGTGTCCGTTGCCGTGTCGTCTTGGGGGTCATCTAATGTGCGGGGGCTTCCCGTTTGTAGAAGAGCTTGCTTTCGGGGTGCCACCGTGGGGGCGCATCGGCTTGGTACTCCTCCTTCTCGACCTCATTTTCGAACAACTAAACAAGATTCAAAAAGCCAAATTCGAAATTCCTACTCACATCTTTGAGCAACTCCCGGAGTTTTTCAATCCTGTCCCCATTGGACCTCGTTGGTAAATACCTGCCTTCACTTTGAACCGCTAAAGTGGCAAAAATGACGAAAACAAGAGCTAAAACTAACTTCCTATCGAACATTTTCTTTAAGTTAAAATAAAACGTCTCTTCTAGCTAAATGCAACTGAATAACTGACTCGCAACCCCCACATTGCAACTTTTATACCCCCGAGGTGGCGTGGGCGAAACTAGGGCGAAATTTCATCTAAGTGATGGGTTTCGGTGACCTTGTGGACATTTGGGGTATAAATTAAACTTTTTATTTGGCGCTATACGGGGGGTGGTCACAATTTGCCCCCCGTGAACGGTGTTTTCCCCCCTATTTTTTGGTAATTAAACGCACGAGTGTGCGAATTATTGTCGTGAATTGGCGGTAGGTGGGCGTTTTGAGGTTTGGTTTGGGGGTTTCGGAGGTGAAAGGGTTGTTTTTTGCACCCCTGGTATATGATATCGACTAGTTTTCGATGAAGGTCAACGCAGTCTCTTTTGTTGGTTGTTCCGGCGTGGCGTCGCGGCGCCCGACTTGGAGACGCCCCAGTTTAGGGCGTCTTTTTGGCTAGACCACCAAAAAATAAAGAAATAAATTTTAATGATCTCGTGTTAAATTAAACAATTTTAACGCAATAATTTTAGAAGAAGTGAGAAATTTATTTAGTCTTCATTTGAGTTGAGTTATTTTGATTTTAAAATATTTCCCCGGCGCATCCACCATTTTTTTAATTTTCATGGCCATTTGAGGAACCAAATTTTGCAAATTTACTTACTTGTGAAAAAAATCGTTCTGATTATTTGATTTTTGACTAAATATTTTTAGTGCCACTGCGCAGTTGTAGTAATAATCAGAAGAGGGCGAACAAGTGGTATTTTTCGTCTCGCTAGTAACTAAAATCCAAGCAAAATTGAAGTTTTTAATTGACGATAAAAATTATTGTAAAGAAGCTTTTATTAAAGTAATTTATATCTTATTGTTTGATGACAATACGATTTGTTACAAATAATCTTTTTTTGTCTTAATTAATTTGGTTCCTCAATTGGTCATGAAAATTAAAACTAATTTTTTGCATTTTTGTAGGTATATAATAACTTTTTATGAGTGTATTTCTTATTAATAATGGAATCTTCAAGGAATGTAAGTAATTTTTTTTTTTATGAGTGATTTAATTGTTTCTTTCTAAGATGCGTCCTGAAATTTATTAATGCATATTGAAACGACAATAAGTAATCGTTTTGCCAAAACTCTAATCACAAGTAAAGTAAAAAATTCGAAAACCAAAGCTGAGGAAACCACATTTTCGGTCATTTTACCCGAAAATGCTTTCATCTCAGAATTCGA